GTTGAGGAAACTCTCTTTGTGAACCCAAAAAGTCAGAGATTCCCTGTTTTCAGGTTTAGACAACTTAGAGTATCCTGTAAACCTGTTTCTTGAAACAGACCCATGAAATTTTCTAAAATCTAGCTTTAGTTTTTTGTTTGGAACAGTAATCAGTTTCCCCATCTGTGCATCTCTTTCCAAACTGGAGCCAGGTCTCCAGAGCAGCATTTTTCTTTTAACAGATCTATGCCCAAAGTTTTGGATTTTTTTTTTAAACAGTTTAAAAAACACAGGATGTAAAAGAAGAAAGGGATCTTGTGACATCCAACAGAACAAATCCATACTGAGTAAAATACCTCACTGAAACTGATTATCTAGTAATTCTGTTGTTGTGAAGGAATGTTATCCCTGTGGTCCTTTAAATAAATACAGATTAATCTAATTAAAACTAAAGCAAAAATATGGATTAATTAATTTCTAGCTTTGGTCACCTATCAGTTAAAAAAAATGAAAATAAAAATCAGCTATAATTTTTCTGCATATTTTCAAATTGGGTCATAAAATCCTGGTTACAAATTATATCAGATAAGATTGGTTTAGGCTATATTTTGCAGTGTTAAAGTACCACTTTAAGATTGCATTAACTAAGTGGTCCCACTGAAATAGTGTTAAAATCAACTCTCTACATAGTGTATATCTTACTCAAGTTGTTGTTTTAATAACTCTAATAGAGTCAATGTACTTTGAAGCTACATAATTTACACATTCTGGAATGTACTTTGATGGGGAAATTTGTCTTGGACCACATGTGCTAAAAAAGAAATACAATAAATAAACATCAAATACACATATAATATATTACAATAATGTAAATGTAGAAAACAAAACATATGCTACACAATAAAAAAATAAACCAGACCCCAGATATTCCAACCAACACAGCAAAATATATCATCATGAAACCTTCAAATGTCTTTATACTAAATGCCTACTCTGTTTATTAATCTGATGGAGGTAGGGGTGAATGGAAATTTATATCTGTTAGGTTGGCAAATGGCCACTTTACACCATTTGCCAGAAGGTAGTATAGTTCATAATGTGAATAGAGAATATGAGTGGAATCAGACCGTACTCTCTGTATGAGCCTGAGAACAAACTGCTGGGAGGAGTAATCAGTCCTCCCACACTAAGTGTAAAGTTGCTGTCTTTGTTTGAACTAATTGCAACAAACAATCTAATAATTCCACGATAACCTTTTTAATGTTTTTATTTCCTCCTTTTTTCACTACCTTGCATTTTAAACAGATTTCCTGAGAGTAAAGTTCAGCTTCTCCATGAGTGTGTCGTCTGACAGCACTGACCTGTCCACACTGAGGGCACACAAGTTCAGCACTGTGATGCCAACGGAGGCCTTCTGCAGGAAAGGCACCAGCTTGCACAGGCACAGGCCGAACCAGTGGTCATCGAAGGGGAAACGGGACGCCAGGAGCTGCAGAAAGATTCATCATTCAAACAATGCAAACAAAGAACCAAAACAAATGATCTGACTGAATAAATTCTGCATGAAATAAATACTTGATCTTCACAGGTAGGACAGGATATTAATTAATATTTTTCGACACTTAACAAAATAAAAAACTTTTTTCAAAATGTCAGAACACGTCACATGCTGCTGTGTGAGGAGTTAGGGTTGCCATGGCGTCATGTCTCAAATTAGACAGGAAGCCCATGAGTCCCCCCCCCATCCATCAGCTAAAGCAGACGGAACCTTGACGTAACTCTGCTGCAATCTCAGCCGCTCCCGGTGTTCATCAGCATCTAATTCAGTTGATCTTCATTATTACAGACAGAGCATCTGCATAGCGTCACATGTAGCAAAGGTAATGTTGGGTCCTTGCATCTGAATTTATGTTGGTGCATAGTTGTTAAACCACCTCCAGTGCTGCCAGTCAGTTATATTTATACTGATAACGCAACAGAAGTTTTGAGAATCTTGGGATCAGGTTAGATATACTACACTATCAGCTGGGAAGAACAGCGATTCTGGAATGTTCTTAGTCTAGTGGGGACACGCTATCAACCACAAAGAAGTTTCCTAGATATGCATCAGTCACAATAAAAATAATTATTTTCTTTTCAGTAATGTGTAACTATATTGTGTTACACTGTAGGTTTTTTAGAACAAGAGGATTTGGAAAATATTGAGTGAAAATTTGAGAATTCAGAGTTTCTTTTGGAAGGATTACGATGTTTATACAAATGTTTTTATCCATCCACAATTTTTTTTGCCCACTTTTTTGTTCATTACCATGTCTCCAAGTGACTATATGAACTCATTCCAGCTCTAGGTGAATGCAGAGAACAAATCAAAGCATAGATTAGAGAACATGTTCTTTAGAACTGAACCAAAGTAATAGTTTTGGACCAAAGAAATAGCATTAAATGTTTGCACTCAGCTTCAGTTAATCCAGCTAGAAAGCAGCATTCGGGCTCTAATCTGGTTGTAGTGATGGACTCAGATCTGAACCTTCAGAGGCTCATAAAGACAGGAACAAAGTGGGCCTTCTATCACCTAAAGAACATCTCCAGGATTAAAGGACTCTGGGACTAATTCCTGTTTAGTTCCTCTTTAGTAGAGGCATGCTTTGGTGGCGCAGTGTTTAGTGCACATGATCCATGTATGGAGGCCTTAGTCCTCGATGTGGGCGACCACGGTTCGCCTATGGTCCTTTGCCGCATGTCTCTCCCCCTCTCTCATACCCCCTTTCCTGTCAGCCTACTGTCCAAAAAAATTATCCCCTAGTACCGTAAAAACTCACAAAATGAAGAAGAAGAAAAAAAAAAGAATTGATCCCTGCAGTGGTGTCTTCAAAAGTCAGTCTAAAAAGTAGATAAGCAGCTGCAGCTGATCCAGAATGCTGCTGCCTGAGTCCTCACTAGAACTAAGAAAGGGGAGAACATCAGCCCAGTTCTAAAGTCCTTCCTCGGGCTCCCTGTATCTCAGAGAATAGACTTTAAAATCCTTCTGTTAGTCTAGAAATCACTGAATGGCTTAGCACCAAAATACAGAGTGGTTGGCAGTGGATCAACAGCCAGACCTCTTAGGTCTACTGTATCCAAGCCAGAACCAAACATGGAGAAGCAACTTTTAGTTCTCTGATAATCTGCTCCGCTCATCTGGAATAAACTCATAGAAAACTGTTAAATCTTCAGCTGCTTTAAATCAAGTTTAAAAACCTTTTTCAAACAGAGCTGCCTTTGAATGAGCCGCCTAAGTTTTCAGTCCAACTTTTTTTTATTTTACAATCAATCATTTTCCTCTTATATTTTAATTTAATATCTTGTAACCTGTGTGTTTCCCTATTATGTAGATCACTTTGAATTGTTTCACTACTGAAACGTGTTTTATAAGTAAACTTGCGTTGCTTCTTGGGGAAAAGATAAATGCCCCTCATTTATATGATGATGTTTTATTGACAAGCTTTCACTGTGACCAAACTCACCTCTATGGTCAAAAACAGACATCTGAGTTCTGTCCCAGTGTGCATGAAGTTTAGGTTTTTATCAAGGACATTTTTATGGAAAATGCACCTTTGTTCTTTAGAGGTGCTTACCCCCTTCCCCATGGAAAACAAAGGAATAGTGTTTTAGGAAACGGCGTCCTCCCTCAATGGAAGAAGGGGCCGGAGGGTTGCAACCTTGCGGACGCAGCTTCCTCTTTGTTTTTGCACAGACTGCTCCCCCCATAAGATTTTTTTTGTTTCCTCTTTGCACATGTGTTGCTCCAACAACAAAGTCGCTGTGCCCTCAGAGTCCCGAGTTAATTTCAACCAGGTGGCTTTCCTGACATTTCTCTGTGCAAAGCGACGTTCCTTTAATGTGGCTGCAGGGAGACCAGCATGACTGATCTCTCAATTCTGCCGTCGTTCTTTATTATTACACAAAGCTTGACAGTGTTTACCGGCATAAATCAAGTTAGGGCAAAAGGGGTCTGCAACTGTTTAGCGCATAAGTCACGCAAAGCTTCGTTTTTTCAAGTGGTCGTAGAAGTAAACAATAGAGCTTTGAGTCACTTGAAACCACCAGAAATCTCTCTGAATTAAAAGCTAAAAATAATGTGCTACTCTCATGCAAATCCCCATAAGGCAATCAGATCTATGCTTTCAAATGACTGAAGCTCTGGTTGGTAACTGCTTTTCACTAGGGAAACAGCCACATGATTTATTTTGTTCCTTTAATCAGTTGTAAACACAGAGATATGGAAAAATATTTATCCAGTAACAGATTTCTTTATTTCTCCTATTTTATACGACGATCAACTATATTTTTAAGAGCATCAAAAAAGTAGATCTGACAAATAAAACTGGAGTAAATATAAAAAAGCTTTTTTCTAATAATCACATTTATTAAGTGAAATAAGCTATTCCTTTAAGCAGCCCCTAAACCTAATAACTGTGTTCCATCTGCTCTCTGGGGAACTCCTCTAATGCAGCCACCGTGGAGGGTTTTAAAACGTGGAGGGCCCTTCAATACCATACCCGCAGTCACTTTCACTGTTGTCTGCTTGATGCACAAATTATTTCCTAAAACGTCTTTGAGATCATCACAATATTTTGGTGACAAACATGATTCAGTTGCATACTGACATGGACAGTTGTATGGAGTGAGTTTTGTTCCAGTATTGTGTCAGCTAAGGAGCAAATTTTGTAAATGTGTTTTTTTCCAATTCACTTTTTTAAATGTCACTCTTTCAATTAGCTTATTTTTATTTATTTATTTATTTTTTTTACAAATCTTAAATTTTCAGTTATACAAATCATGTTTCCCTAATCGCATTCTCTTTATTTCTGGGGGTTGCTTTTCTCTGAAAACAATGCAATTTTTAAAACAGGAATAGAAAAGTCCCTTAAAAATATAAAATATGCAAAAAAAAAAAAAATCTGAGAAAATAGCAAAGTTTCTCTCAAACATGCCAACCAGAGAAACAACTAAGGCTTTTACACTCTGGTTGTTTCTCTTTCAAACATGAAATCGTGGATTATTACAATCAGATGTGCAGTAGCTATGCATGCTTCCTCCTTTGCTGCCGTGTTTGTTTTGGTTTGACTGTACGACCGTATGTTCCACCTTAGACCGCTATACTGCAATGTGATTGGCTGTCTGGTTGAATCAGGATGGGGACTACATGGATTCCCCAATGTTTGTGAACGGACAGGTACTGTGAGAACTTGGGTTAGTTTTGTCATCTTCCGTGGGACAGGCTGTCACCTTGAACCGATGTGGTTTAAATCAGGGATTCTTAACGATGGTCCTCAGGGCCCACTGTCCTTCATGTTTTAGATGTGTCTCTACTCAAGCACACCTGATTCAAATGATTGCATGTCCTCCTTCACAGCCACCAAATCCTTCAAAAGCCAGTTAATTACCGTTTCATTCAGGTGTATGGTGGCAGGGAAACACCTAAAACACGTAGGACAGCAGGTCCTGAGGAAGAAGGTTAAGAAACCCTGGTTTAAAGTACTGGAACCCAAGATTTTGGCTCATCACAGTGAATTTGTGTTTTAACAAACACTTCGGGTTCGGTTGGTTTGGATTAACTATTTTCTTTCTCTTAATAAATGAAGTGATTTTAAAGCAGGACTTTTTTTCTGAATTCTCTGATTTGGCTTAAGTGTTGCATAAGAGCAAAATCTGTAAAGGGTGAACATATGTATTTTGTAAACGAAGAACAAAGGATTAAAGTTCAGTGAAACATCAGTGGCGTGCTTGACTCCAGCCTGACTTGTGTGTTTATTTAAAGCCGTCATATCCGGGCCCCTCTCATCAACTTATCTTACCCCATAAGACAGATAACCCCCTCCCAGACTGATTACACTTTCCCGTCTTCTCCTACACTCCCTTAAACCCGCCCCCCTTTCCTGTCTCTAATATTCCTAGTTTATCTGACCATGTCTCCTCCATTGTTGCTGCTTTGCATCATATCAGCAGCGTGTGAGGCGTCACTCAGCAGCTTGGCTATGAAAATAAAGTTACAACCATGGATAAACACTCAGAAAGGGGGGCGGCTGTACCTTGTACACGTTGATCGGTATGTCAATGAAGATGTAGATAAGGTCACCCAGGGCGAGGCTGGCGATGAGGGCGTTGGGGCCGTTCCTCATACACTTATGCTGGTAAATAATCCTCAGCAGGGTGGCGTTTCCCACCAGGCCCACCACAAAGACGATAATAGAAATGACGGTGTTGATGTACTTAAAATAGTTGCTAATTGAGGGGTTCACAAGGCACTTTGGGGGTCGCACCGGTTGCTTCAGGACCGTGGCGTTAGCAGAGCCGGATTCCAAAGCTTGAGCCCGGGCTCCTGAGACGAACGGAGGGAGAGCGGTTCCTGTGGGACTGACGGTGCTGTGGAAACCAACCGACTGCAGGGTGGAGTGGACCAGGACGGCATGCAGAGGGTCCTCGGCCTCCTTTATCTGGCACATTCCTCTGGCTGCCAAACAGGCCATTAGCATGAGCAGCTGAGCTGTGGTCCCCATTATTGAGCACTTTTATTTGATCGCTGGAAGGCTGCCTCCGTTTTTCACAGCTGGAAAGAGAAGAAAAGAGAAAAACTGCTTAGATTTGAGAACAAGTGGATTCAGTGGCTGTTCTAGATCTAATTTACAAGTGGGGCCATTCTGGGGCCATTCTGGGGCCAGGGTTTTTTTCATGGGTTCACAAAACAAAAAACTAATAACAACGCATAAAAAAAAAAAATCTAACAAGATAAGAACTGAGATTGTATCTTAGTACGGCTGAAGCTTAAGGGAGACTGTAATTTCTTCGTAATTGTAAATGTAATTCATAAAGATAAAATATAAATTAGTCAGAGAAAGGAATCACTGACAGCTGCTTCAGTCAGCATGTATCATCATGAGAAAATGATTTAGTACAATGGAAAAATTATCTAGAATTAAGTGAAAATTTCTTAAATTAAGTGTATTTACCCTTAATTTGAGAAGGTAAAGATGATGATTTACCAGTGAAAGGTGTATTCATACTCTTAAAATAAGATAATTAGATAATATGGACTTGAAATAAGACAATGCAATTGTCTTCTTATTTTAAATGTAAATTGTCTTGTTCCATAAGCAAAGTGTCTCACTTTCCTTCTAGATTCAAGAAAAAAATGCACTTATCTTTGGAGCAGAACCAGTGCATTCCTAGAACTGTGATCCTGTCTCAAAATGACTGAGGCTAAAAGTAAAACATCTTCAGTTTTTAATCATTGTTGAAATAAAGCAGTAAAGAGCAAATAGATCCAGAAGATAAATCAGTTATAGTTACTGTTCCCATGCATATAATCATAAGACATTCATTTAATATTACGTTTTTAGTTCAGGGGACGTAGCAACGTCAGGACCAGCTATACTGGGGCACTGGCCCCGGTGGCCCCTATCTAGAGCCGGACATCCTTTGATGTATTTAACCGGCTGTTTGGGTCATAGATGACTGGAAATGATCATCCAATGTCCGTCTTCCTTTCCTCCATGTTCCATCCATTAGCCTTAAATATGGTTGCACTTCTTTAGATTCCGTTCTTTTTGTTCCTTCCACTCCTCTATGAAGGCCAGATGTGTAAAGAACAGAACTATTAGTTGTGGATCCAGAGTTAACCCCTCTCTCTTGCTTTCTTCGCTTCATGCACAGCCGTCATATCCACCTAAAGTCTGCTCCTTGCATTTATGGATTAGAGATCCTTCAGATGTTAAAACCTGGCATTTATGGTCTTTCTGATTTTGTTTGTTCACTAATGTTCTCCTCTGATGCCTTCAGGGAACAGCTGCAAACTCAATTTCTGGATTTGATTAATTGTCCTGAACAGAAATTCAACCTTATTAGATTTTTATTTTGTGCACTTCTTTCTGTGAGTCTATCACATAAAAAACTTTTAACTTTACATCTGAGAAGATTTCAAGGCAATGAAGATGTAAGCTTAAGAAGACATTTGAAGCATAAATCCCTCAATCTGAAGCTGTCAGGAAGTTTAATGTCTTTAAGACCTCAGAAAGGGGCCCACAGATGGGAGATGCCTCCTCTGGTTATAATTTGACATTAAGTAGAAGGCATCATCAGAAATCTTGAGCTTTTGTTCTTAATCACATCTACATGGAAAAGCATTCACTTATTTCATTTATTGACCCATGTGCTGCGTTTTGGACAGATGTCCTTCGCACTGGCTTTAACATAATTTCCACAGCTCCACATCCTCCTTCTGTTTCTAATTTTAACAGCTTTAAAATGTGCAGTTAAGAGACAATAAGTTTCCTCCAGGATTAATCGCTTTGTGCAGAAAAAAAAATCAACAACTTTTCCTGAAAATCAGTTGGTTACTCAGAGCTGTGAGGAAAGACTTGATGAAGTTTCAAAGTCTTGGTTGGAAAGCCCATTTCATCACTGTGCAGGAAAGCCTTAAAGCCCACAGTTCTTCCTGTTTCAAAGTCCCTGCTGTCACCAAGTACACAAAGAACTATTTAGCAGCCAGCCCTTCAAGTAGCATCACAGTTTAGCATCAGCATGACACTGCTGGGATCTGTGACAGCACGCAAACTGATCTATGCATAAATAATAAATACGTTTGGTTTTCACCTACCGCTTCTAAAACGCCTGCCTGGCCCCCTTGGAAACCGTCAGGCAAACTTTCAGCTGAAGCCCCCCAGACATCTGTATCACATCACATGAGTAATTAACGCGCTATCAAAGCTGCGCCGTATCCCACTAGGTTTGAGCAATGCACCCGTCTGCTCTGAGGTGCCTTCGCATTATGGCTCAGAGTTTCCTGTGGAGAGTTTGCAGCAACACTGTGCATGGAGGTGTGTGTGTGTGTGTGTGTGTGTCAGAGCTCCAGTAAGACACTATGACTGGGTGGGAGAGCAGTCTCCACCTCCCTTTGGTAACAGACTGGGCCCCCCTCTCCCCCCTTTTCTGAGAGGCACTGCCTGCTATCCTACACAGACACCCACACATACACAAGTACCGGGACAGGGAGCATTGTGGAGCCCAGTCATCTTTCAACCCCCCCATCCCACTCCCCATCACCCCTCCACCCTCATTCATGTTGATCAACTGTTTCCCCACACAAAAATAACTTTAAGTGTCAGACTTTAAGTTAATGTCCATGTTTATTTCATTCAGTCTTCCCTTTTACTCAGTCCGTGTGTGGCCAAATTACAACACCAACGTACGCTACTTCATCAAATCTCTAACAAACAAAAACAAAGCCAGTAAACACTGGAAGATGTCAAACAGAGCAGGACAAATCCCAAACAGAGCGTGTTCCTTTATGTGATGGGGAAAAAAAGTTCAATGTCAAGAGCAGAGAGTGCTCGTACATCAGCTCACATTATTGTTTTTTTTTTTTTTTAAATGGACCGTTTATCCTGATGGGAGCTGAGAGCAGGAAGAGGCTCTCAGATTGTCTGTCATGGGCTGTTTGCTGAGGCAGCGAAAGCTGGAAGAGCAGAGCCATTGATTTCAAATTAAACTGCTTGTCAAAAATTATAATAAGGGAATTTTGTTCCATTATAGTCTCAAGTAAATAACATGTTTTGTAAATAGGATTTATTTAAAAGAAGAAATCTAGAAATGCAACTTTGAATCAAAAAAGAGGTTCTGACACTGACTTAATAGTTTGTATAGATCTTATATTTAAATATTAAAATAAA